TGATTGATTGATTGATTGATTGATTTTCGCTGAGTTCCATAACAGCCCAGTCCCTCTCTCATTGTATATTAATTTCTTTCTAGCTTAGCTGCCTCTAATAAATTGATTGATTGATTGATTTTCGCTGAGTTCCATAACAGCCCAGTCCCTCTCTCATTGTATATTAATTTCTTTCTAGCTTAGCTGCCTCTAATAAAATAAGAAAACAAAGCTAACGTTTTAACAGAATTCTTAACCAATACCTTTTACTGAGTGACATCTGAGCTGCCATAGTATTTAGTTATTGTTTAACTGGATATAATAAAACAAATGGGCTGGGGTATGTGGCCCACTGCTGTAATCCCAGCACTCAGGAGGCTGAGGCAGGAGGGTCAATGTCAGTCCAAGGCCAGCATGGGCTATATTGTAAAATGCTCAAAATTACAAAAGAGAAAAACCAAAAACCACAGTGGCTTAAACAAAACATTAGTTAAGCGAAAGAAGTGGGGAAGTAGGCCTGTGTAGGACTGGCGGAGGAATTCGACAGTGGTGAGGGACCCAGACCTGTCCTGCCTTGAAGATTGTTAGGAAGCTTTCCCTGGGGCTCCTTGAAGCGCAGTAGGAAGGCTTTACTGCGGTTGGGTCTGAAGGTGCAGCAGTCACACTCAACTCCACACAACCTGAGCAACTGGAAATGTAAAGCCCAGAACAGTAGGAGAATTACTGAGAGAAAACTGCAGAGGTGAGGGGGGATTCTGCCTAAACCAACCTAACAGGATTCTTGCTGACGTCAAGCCAGGGTCATCAGCCATCACTGGGGTGGAGGGTGGGGAACCCGATCAGCTATTGGAGAAGATCAGATAGCATGGGTGACCAGATGTCCAGATGAGGGGTTCTGGCCAAACTGACTTAGCAGGGTTCTTTGGCTACACTGGGTTTTGTGAGCACAAACACACATGGGCCGTAAATTTCAGCAGCGTGACTGGAGCTTGGCTGAGCTAAGAACGCTGGGATCTGGTGTTCTTGTGCATGACTCCCCACCTGAGGTCCCTTCCTGGTCCTAGATAGCTGCAGTGATGTTAGCCCAGGCTGTTGTGTCTGCAGTCGCTGCTCCGGGCCTGGGGAAAGGGTGCAGGATGAAAGGCCTTCTTCGTCTGAGCAAAGCCCCTTTTCCCACACTGCTTTCTTCAGTCCCCTTCCAATGGCTTCATTTGTATTTCAGGCAGTCCGGCCATTTGACCGCTTGCAGCTGCAAGCAAGAGCTAGGAAATGGAATCTTTTTGGGGCTGGGAATTTAGCTCAGCGGCAAAGTGCCTGCCTGGCAAGCGCAAGGTCATGAGTTCGGTTCCTGGTACCGGAAAAAAACCAAAAAAAAAAAAGAATGGAATCTTTTTACCAGGTCTAGTGCCACCCCCAAATAAAATCAGAGTTCTGTTTGTTTTTTGTCTTTGTAGTACTGAAGATTGAACCCAGGGTCTTTTTGCACTGAGTTACATCCCCGGCCCCATTTTTTATTTTGAGACAGGGTCTTACCAAGTTCCTAAATTGCTAGGCTGGGCCCAGACTTGAGATCTCTTGCTTCAGCTTCACAGTGTTGGGATTACAAGGGATGCACCACCATGCATGGCTGAGCCTCCATTTTAAACACGTTAAAGTTTGGAAGTGCTGCTGGCTTTAGCATACTTTATTTTTCCTTTAAAAAATACTGAACAACAGAGGCCGGACGTGGTGCTGCACTCCTGTTACCCACCACTGGGAGGCAGAGGTAGGAGTGACGGGAAAGACAATTCCCAACCTGCTAGATGTAAAGTTTGTGTTCTCTAAATTGAAGAATGAATTCTAGGAACAACACAGATTAAGAGCAGAATCTAGTTATTGGGGGAAGAAAGATTCTAAGAGGCAGAAAGAGTCCCAAGTGGGATGCCAAGGACCCCACCTTTCAAGGGAATTTTGTAAAGCAAAACCATGAGGTGAGGTGGGCCCAAGGTGGGGAAAACTATAATAAGCTAATAAAATTACAACTATAATCACTTAGGTAACATTGATCCAATGGGAAATTACAAGGTGGACCTGAGGTGGGACAAAACTATGGTCAAC